CGCTGCTAGGCATCCTTATTGGAGCAACAGAGGTAAGAAGTAATTAAGCGGGATAAGAACCATGTGATCCAGGACTTTGTCCAGGTCCAGTCCCCCCATTCCTTTTCAAAATCATAAAATAAATTGGACTCGGGTGCAAGGGTGTTACAGGTGAAAATAATGTCTCTATTCATTCCCGTCTCTAAATACCAAGCTATTGATATGGCTTGGGTGAGAGAATGGCACATAGATGAATAATGGTATTATCAACCTAAGCAGAAGTGCTCAAAGGAAAAAAAAACCACACAAACAAACATGTTTAGCACTCACACCTGCAGTTCAGCATCCATTGGCTGAAGATACAGGCTGTCATGATCAGTTCAACTTGTATTGCAACAGAATGTGATTACTTGACACAAAGCTTTTATCTTGCAACAATAGAAATCACCTTGAAAAAGAGATATTTTGAAGGAAAGAGAAAGTAAAATCAAGGGGGAGAGGGGAAAGGGAGGGGAGAGGGGAAAGGGAGGGGAGAGGGGAAAGGGAGGGGAGAGGGGAAAGGGAGAGGAGAGGAGAGGAGAGGAGAGGAGAGGAGAGGAGAGGAGAGGAGAGGAGAGGAGAGGAGAGGAGAGGAGAGGAGAGGAGAGGAGAGGAGAGGAGAGGAGAGGAGAGGAGAGGAGAGGGAAAGAGAAGGAGCATGGGAAAGGGAATGGGAATGAGAAAGGGAAACGGAAAGCAGGATTGTACCTGGGCATTTCTTAAAGTGGGGTCTGGACTCAAGGATGGCAATAATCAAAAACTTTCTGTGGATTTTGTTTTCAAAATGTGAGCAGTGTCTCCAATAAGCTTCATGTCTCTGTTGTTACAGGATGTCTAACAACAGCATAATTAAAAGCACTGAGCTTCAGTAATGTTGCAAGTTTACTTGCTTACTTCGAGCAGCTCCAAAGTAGCATAATTGTGAAACCTGAAACCATGGCTTGTATCTAAATTAATATGTGGGTTAGGGAAGCTGAGAATAGTTCTCTGAACATTTTGAATTAAGCAGGAAGTGGGTGATCAGCTCCTGCAGATGTTGCTGCAGGTCGTTAGCAAACCCTCTGTAAAACTGAGGAAGCTTCCCAGGTCTTGCATATAGAAATGGTGAAAAGTTTTGCAGTAAAACTGAAAACCAATATTGCATTTGCAGAGTAGCTCAAAAGCACTTTGTTTTATTAAAGGATGCTTCTATCAAAATGCAAAACTTTTGACTGTGTAACTACACGTGAAGTCCTGAATTTTTTTTTTAGTACAGATCTCCATCCATTTTCAGACTACTTTGTTGATTGCTTCTTATACATAATGAAAAACATGATCAGAGATAACAGAGAATTTGTCTTTTTTTAAAGCAGAACTTCTCATTGATCTCAATTGGGATATCTTGTTTCCAGAACAGATGCACAGACTACATCAATGGTATTTCACCTAATACTTAACAACTATTCAATATAAGTCCCAGACTACACATCTGATAGAGGGTATTCCCATTCTGTGTGAGAATGTAGAGAAAAACAGATGAAGGATAAACATCACCCAAAAGTGAATGTCTAAGTATACATTTAGGATTGACAGGTGAAAAATATTAAGCAGGCATGTAATCTTACTCCCAAAAGAAAACCCACAGGTTTCATCCAAAGTCTTTGGTATGTTAAAGCTCACCAGACTGAGCCTTAAGGTTACATATTCAGAACACTTCATCTGGGCAGTGCTGCTGCCATAAGGAAAGTGATTTCAGACTACAGATGTGTAGTCATATGCAGATGCTTATCCTTATTTAAAGGGGAACACAAAATTAATTCCCAATTGAAATATAGGTGAAACTTTTCACTGTCTGATAAGAAGCCTTAATAATTACTTCTTTTTTTTAATAAGAAGTATTTATAAACCTGAGCCAGTTAATTTTGCACTGCATGGTATACTCCATTTCAAATGCATGATTAAAGAACAGCAACAGCAAGTATTCAGAGATGGAGGACAAACATAATTAAGGCAACATAATTAAGGAGACAGAATTACTCAGTTACGTCAATGTTACTGCTTTCTTTCTAGCCATCTACTTTCTATCACCTTCCATAATAAACTCATAGCTGTCTTATTTTTTTGACACTTTTTAAATTCTTGTTTCTAATTAGTGTTCTCAACATTCCCTCACAAGAAGTCCTTTCGTATATGGTGTAATCCCAAACACATTGTGTTAAACCCATCCAGCACTCACACTGCTGGGGGTAGACACTGGTTTCTAATACAGTGTAATGCGTTACGTGTTTTGTTTGTAACAGAAGTCCAGACCTATTGAGTGAATATATTAGACACATACTTTGATTCATAACAGAAGAGTCCTCAAAACGATTCAAACTGCATATCAATGTGTGTTTGAAATTCCTCTTAAGTGATCATTTAGGCTTAATCAACAGAATTTGCATGATTTACCTAAAGAGTCCTAAATTCTGCATCTGAGATTCTGAACCTTCACTCAGGAATTATTATAACTCACTCAATGAGAATTAGCATAGTCAACTGCAGGAATGACTCTAGAATTTTTACATAAACTATAACAAGTATTTACATGAGAAAAATACATTTTCCTGTGCCTTCATACTATGATATAAACAGCCCATATCTTACTTTTGATTTTACTAGAATCAGATAATCTGGACGAGAACAAGTGTGCCACATAAGGCTGAACAAACAAAACCAGAGATAGTTAGAGGAAGATATATGAATTTGCCAGTTGTGTAAATGATAACATTTTGTGACTAATAACTGCCCTCTGGTGGTTTATTGATGGATACATTTTATTTGTTTATAAGTAAAAAAACACATTAATTTATTTTAAAGATATTGCGGACTGTTGTAGCTAAGGAAATGATAATGGGCAATGAGTTTAAATATTAATTTGCGAAGTTTTTTGTGTACTTTTGCTCCTATTGCACAACAGCAAGTTGTACCCAGAACAATCTTCTGCAAGGGATTACTAAAGGATAGCTTCCCTCAAGACTTATTTTATCTATAACTTGGATTAGATTTATCTATTTCCTTAGGCAGATAAGTAACTTCTCATTCATATTTCTATCAGGATGGTTTCATTCATTTTTAAATTGCAGTGATTTATCTTTTGCAGTGCTTTAAGCCATACTAGCAATTTCATCTGTAGTCTTGTCTACAGATTTTAGCAGAATTACATGGTTAATCCTTGGCCAATTACAAGTAATACTACAAAAACTTCAGTGTGGCAAGGTTTCTCCCATAGCATTAATATTCTTTGCAGTGGAGGCCCTTAAAGAGTCTGAAAAATTTATCTCCAATTGAAGCAGACTGAAAGCATGTCTCCACTCTTTGCTTGTAGAAAACCTTAGTCTTACATGCGTAATCTCTAACTGTGGTGTATGTAATTATAGCTGGAGGATGAAGATATGAGCAAAAAGACTGAGGGAAATTTAATTCACCTGGTCTTTTGGAACTTGAAGTTTGAACTATTGAAAGATAGTCAAAGAAACAATATTGAAATTAGAAAGGAACACAGAATGCTTTTTTGAAACTAGTCTTGTCCCATGAGTAACACAACTCCTTCGAGGTCAGATGGACACAGGTGATGTCAACGCACTTGTACCGAACTACGTACATTGTCTGAGATTTCATACACTGAGGAATGATTTTCATGATAAATGCACAACTTTAACTATATTTCAGCTGACCATTGTCTAGTTCTAGGAGCTTCAAAACTGATTCTTCTGTTTCTCAGTGGTGTAAAATATTTCAGTCTAATGCTGCTGAACAATAAATATTTGGGTTCTCTCAGAGAAGAGAGAGAAATGTCCTTACAGAAAAGCTGAGAAGCTTTTACATTCATTTCCACTACAAACTAAACTACAGGCAAATACTCATCCAGTTTTTCTAGACACAGCAAAGTTAAGCTCTTGGCAGATCTGTATGATCATAATTTCAAATTCACTTCCATAGTTTTGCGGTAAATGTATGAGGGACCAATAATAATAAACATCAACATCATGAAATCTAATAAGAGACCAGGTAAAAAAGGCACTGAAGGTCTTCAAAAGTCCCAGAGTTTCATTTCTCAGTCCCATAATTTTCATATTGCTTGAAATTCAGCATTTTAGCTCTGTATAGCAGGCATTTCAGAATCATAGAATAGTTAGGGCTGGAAAGGACCTTAAGATCATCCAGTTCCAACCCCCCTGTTGTGGGCAGGGACACCTCACACTAAACCATCTCACACAAGGCTTCGTCCAACCTGGCCTTGAACACTGCCAGGGATGGAGCATTCACAGCCTCCCTGGGCAATCCATTCCATGCCTCACCACCCTCACAGTAAAGAACTTCTTCCTTATATCCAATCTAAACTTCCCCTGTTTAAGTTTTAACTCGTTACCCCTTGTCCTGTCATTACAGTCCCTAATGAACAGCCCATGACCAGCATCCCTATTTTGTTGCACATAATTATCATTCCATTCTGAAATTATGATTTTGACACTTTCTTGAGCTGTTACAAGGGTTTGTGGCATACTGTAGTTCACCTGTGCAGACATATCACATCATTACACACAGCTACCCCCACCCTCAACTGCTTTTGTTTCATCAGCTGCTTTTAGTTTTATCTGTCTTAGAAACAAGATGATTTAGCTCATGTTACAATTCTTTTTATTCCCTTTCACCTTAATACTGAGCTGTTGCATAACTTTATCCAATCTAGCACTGAGGTAAAAAAAGAAAACCTACACTGACCTTTTAAGTCCAGATTCTGCAGTAAACAGCTGTGACATCCTGTGATAAAAAAAATCCCCTGCTCTTTATAACTTTGGAAGCTGCTTTTTCAACTTGCCATCAAGAGAAACAATTGGTTCTAAGAGACTTTGCTGTCATTTACTGCCTTCAGAAGTAGTGCTTGATTGTGATCAAGCAAACTTGATAAATTTGACAAAGCACCTCAAATTTTAATTCCTCCTCTCTCTCTGGTGTCCTACCCAACTCAGATAGCCATGTCACTGCGTGGGTATATAGTCTGCTGCAGAACAGAACCTCAACACGGACTGCAAACAGAACCATTAACCAAATTATAAATTGTGAGAATTTTCTTAGATGTATTCTTCTCTTCTAGATCCAGTAGTTTCCTTTCATTTCTCCCAGTACAGCTCAAAATACTCTCCGTAGCAGAAACCCCAGTGTTGATCATTAACAACATGTTCACAGGTGTTTAAAGCCTTCAACTGACTTGATGTGGGTGTACACACAGGATCACACTGAGGTCAGCCCAGGTGCAGTTCTCTAAAAGCTATGGTACGGTTGTGGCCTCACACAGAAAGCTGTCAGCAAATGACTTTTTGTTTCTGACAAAGCACCCATTTGCACATGTTCATTATAAAACAGTATCATTAGTATTACTTTCTGAATGTAGAAGGCACATGCATCTCACTGATTTTGGGCTGACGTAAATATGATCTACTCTCAGGGAAAATTGCTGTAATGGGACATAACACAGGAATTTACCAGAGTGCTATGTATGCACAGGCCCAGACAGGAATTTCTTAAAACCTTTCACTGGAAAATAGTAACGCGTCAATAGTCACACTTTCCTCAGCAAGACACTTGTTTCTACAGAAACTTTATCAAGAAAAATTTTTTAGGTGAAAATTCTAGTCCAAAGCAAGGTCAACACCAAATCAGCATCCCTCAGTATTCATGCAGGAATGAAAACCCTTCTCCCATACATGACTGAGAGCATCGCATCAAAGGTAAGTCCTTCAACCTCTAATGTTTAAAGTTATTTCATGCCTAGTGAATACCTGATTACAAAAAAGGTAAAGCAGCTTTCATGGGAAAGGATAACAACCAAAGAAAAAAGGCTGAATTTATACTTCTGAGTAAACAGAGTTTACACTCTTGCTTTATATCAGACAGTATAAGGTTTTCTGCACCACAAGCACATGCCCTAACGCAAATGTAATGACTGCTATATGAATATCTTTTCTCAAAGGACAACACAAAATCTAACTTTTGCCCTAGTACATATCACCTCCCCCCCCCCCCCCAGTGTTAGGCCTCAGGAAGCTTTGTTGGGTGGGATACCCCTTTCCATATTCTTGTTCTTTTCACTCAGCACCTGAATCATGGCAGCAAAGTAGGCAACTGTAAAGTTGCCTAAAAGTAAAGCGCAGGAATCTGTGCTGTGGGGATGGCACCTTCCTGATATGACTTTGGTCCTTGAAATGACAGTTTAAAAGGAAAGAAAAAATTTCAGTTTAACTACCCTTCCAAAGCAGGTAGGTTTTGTCATTTGAGTTCAGTATTCCAAGAAACCCATCAATGATGAATAACTGTTGACTAAAAATTAATTTGTTCAGGATTCATTCTAGAACACCTAGTCATTCCACCAGAACTGTTCTATGGAGAGTTCTGGCCTCATTCATTAAAACCAAACAGAACATCAGGTCTACATGCCAAGCCTACAGAGGAAAGCTGAAGTTCAGAACCACTATGAACAGCTTTGTATGGATGTGGTTTCTAAATTTTTCAGTCTTGCCCTGACCCAAACACTGTGAGCTAGAGAAGGCCATGTCTGACCCTTCAGTTCTACCTAGCTGGGTGTGTATTTCGCAACGTTTAGAAAAAATCCTGCGCCACCACACTAGGCACCTCCACCGTTTGCTCATGTTCCCAATGTGACTCAACCAGGCTGGTGATTGCGCTAGTGCTGGTTAGTGACAACTGGAGATCCTCTTTCTAGCAAAAGTTCTGGTTATACCCTTACAGCCCTGTTCACAGTATTCATTTTTAATGATTAAATATTACTAGCCCTTGGTTATAAAAAAAAGGATGAGGAAAAAATGCTTTGTGTCCTTAACTGCATTGGAACCAAAAAAAATAAACAAACAAAAAGTAACATTATTCCTCCATTACTTAAACTAAAAAATGTACTTAAAAAAAAAAAAAAATAGTTGCAATTTTGGGTGTCTCCAGCTTTATCAGGACTTCTCAAAGTTCTAGCTAGCAAAGCTAGTTGTTTTTATTGAATCAAAATATTTTCTGGTGTCATTTGCTGAAAATGCTGTCTTTCCATTTTGAAACTGCTCTGGGCACTCAAGTAAAGCCAGCCATGCTTAACAGTGCTCTATTGAGAAGGAGCAGCTGCACAGACTGTTATATATTGGCGTATTTCTCTTAAAGAGATTTTAAAGAAATTAACAACATTTGAGGATCTGGCTCTGGTCATGGATTTGTGAGAACATTTTTGTAACTGTAGGACTAGACAGAAAAAACCAGGATGTAGCAGCTGACAAGAACATACATTTTATGTTACTGATATGCTCCTAATTTTTAAGCGAAATTAATAATAATAGAATATATAGCTGCATGCACACTCTGTGGTTTTCGTGTGGCTTTTTGTCTTTACAGAAAGTCAGATCTGAGCTTTTTCATCCAGTCATAATCCCTTTGAGTATCTTCTCTCTCAAGAAGACAAGTCTTAGTGCACTCAAAAATACTGAAGCACAAACTATACTGTATTCTAAGTATGGGACGCACAGGGCCAAACTTTTTATCACTTAAATTACATTAAAGTACCTGATGTAGTGCACATGCACAGTGTGGAATGATTCAGACCATCTATCACCAGCTACATTAGGCATCTAATTGTAATGCTCTGAATTCGCAACATTAGGCATCTCCCTTTTCCACTGACTACACTGAAAATTTAAGAGTCTAAGTCTGATCTGTTTAATTAAATCAAAGCCAGATGGTTACAGCAGACTAATGTGCATGAAATGCTCCTCATTATTAGAAATTACTTAGCTATGGTTATCACCTGACATTAGTCAGGACACGACTGGTTAAAATTGCTTGAGCTAAAATATATATGTGAGGATTGAATATGTCTTTTCTTCTTGAGCTCAATGCAGACAGCATTGCATTAAGGGAGAAGTAAAAAACCAAACAACCCAACTTAAAAGCAACTTAAAGCTTTGATTTTAAAATGGGATCAGAATTTCTTAGCAATCTGTTTCTTGCATCTGCTGCTATAAGGAAAAAGAGGAAGCCTCCTTCAGCTACTGTAAAACTTGTAACAGAAATGTACCAACTGGCATCACCCATTCCAGCTGGAGTTGCTGTTTTTAACTTTACAGAATTGTTGAAGAGTGCCTAAAAGCCTTTTTGAAAAACCTTAAGCCAAATTTTGAAATACAGGTGATTTAATGAGGAATTAAGGACATTCAGAACCTCACAAAACTGACCTCTCCTTCAAGGAGCTGACAGTGGTTATGTGGGCCTAACTCTAGGAAACTACATTTTTACATGAAAGTTTCAAGGGCGTATTTGGAGTATCTCAGAAACAGCTTATATCATTGTTGCAATTTGTCTTATGCAGTGAAAGCAACCTGTTGAAACAGAATTCTTTGTGGGAGGGGAGTTGCCGCAACTTCTTTTTTTTTTCACAAGGATTTATGTCTTTCCAGATATTTCGAGACAATCTCAAATTTTACAGAAACCTAGTGACAGGCCTTAATATTAATGCGTGTATTATGACCATCAGGAAGTTCAGAGGTTTGGCTCTTTACAAAAGGAGTGAGGCAGACACTCAGGTGCTACTAACTGTGGCACTGCAATCATTCAAATCTAACAGAAAACACTAAGTCTAGGAGATGCTTTTGGTGTCTGGATTCAGATCTGGATATAAAATCAATGCAGCATGTGGGAACAATTGATTCGGTAATTTTGCTTAGTGTTCAACCTTCTAAATAAACCTTAAAATACAGTAACTTGTAGGGTCACACTGTGATTAGTCATTGTGAAAGACAAAAATGAAATAAAAAAAAAAGTATGCAGATTCTAGTATATCATTTTGGTGACCCTCAAACCATGCTCAGGAAGTTACCATTGATAACGGGGCACACGACATGATCATCTTTATAGGAAGTCAGGACTTAAATGTCTATTAAGAAAAATACTTACACTACCTAATGCAAGTTATAGTTACCTGTAGGTAGTTTTGAAAACAAATAAACCCAATACAGAAAGCATTCATCCTACACTTTATCATAGAGGGAGGGAGAATATAATTTTAATTTTTGTCCTGAATGGAACAGACACAAACATAGGTTAAAGCTTTAAAGTACTGTCTGATGCATAAGCCTCATTATTTCTGAACAGAAGAAGGGATTCCACCTGAAATGAACTGGGTAGTAAATGCATAAATACGACAATACCCAGGAAAGCAAGAACAGAGAGGACTCACTGTCTTTTAGGCTGCTCTTCCGAAACCTTTCTAGGTCCACGCTTGGGGGTCTGCTGGGCTTCTGCGGGGGCTGGCCCAGCTTGAACAGCGGGGGCAAGGGTTTCTGCTTGGGTTTTCCTAAGCTCCTGTCCCCATCCTCTTTCTCTTGTGATGGACCCGATAGCCTTTCTTCAGCAAATACTGTGTTTGTCTTATGGAACTTAGAAGAGGAACCTGACTCTTCCTGGGTGATTTTGCTGAGAAAGATGTTCTTGGCAGCACTCATTCCCTTTTCTTCAGTCTTTTTCTCCATATATTTGGGGGTTCCTTCAGATGCACCAGAACAGTGATCAGTAGGCTTCAGAGCTTTATTAGAAAAATGACTGCCTGAAGCTTCTGCAGAACAGTTACTATTTTCACCCACTTCCTTCGTTGCTTTAAATGAGTGTATATTTTGTCTAGGGCCTGATAGTTGTTTTTGCAGAAAAACATTTTTATTAGAAGTGTCTTCATTGTGGGAGACATCACGGTTTAGAGAAGGTTTCTGTGCAAGAGGTGGTTTAGAGAAAGACGACTTGGGCTCATTTTCTTGTGTTGCAGACAAGAACTTTTCCTTAACTCCAGTTACTTTTGAAAATGCTGGTTTTGCCTCGCTCTCCTGTGGCGCAAAATTTGGATTTGGTTTTGTTCCCAGAGCGCTTTTTTCTTTCTCATAAGGAGCAGAGTTAAGGAACCTGTTCTGAGCAAGTTTTGGATACAGAGGCACTGGCTCTTCCTTTGCCAAGTCACTGGTTTTGGTGGTGAGTTTAGTGCATCCAGCTTTTTCATAATTTTCTCTGTTAGTTGCCTGAAGCTGAACTCCAAACCTTTGTGCCACTGGTTTCAAATATGGGGACTTTGGATCCTTCTCTGTTCTATCATCAATTGAAGGCTTGACTGCCTGAGGAGGCTTAGGATGAACAGGTCTGTGAAAAGTACTGGGTCCTGAAGAAGTTGCATTTCCTTGGCTTGCAAATTTCTCAAATGCTGCTTTCCTTGTCTGTAATCCTGTATGGATAGGTTGTCCAGAGACTTTGAAGGGATGGCTGTTACCAGAAACATCCTCTGTGGGGTTGCTGCCTGTGTTAAATTTTGCCATGAGTGACTTCACATCTACCCTGACATCCTGTAAGCATAAAGAAGATAAAAAGAAAGAGCAGCAATGAGAAAGTTGTTGTTGCGATGTTCACACATACTGTACATTAAAGAGTTTCCTGATCTGAGGCTTTTAGTACTGCTGATTGGCTGTGGAGATATTGTATCATGTCTTCCTGTAGGGTTAGAGAAGCTTTCTATTTTATTATATCCTTGCTGTGGCTATACGATCTTTTAAAATTTTTAGTGCAGGTACTGCCCTTAGAGCATGGTCATGCAGCTCCTTTTGGGCATACCAAAAATTATCTTTATTTCTAGAATTAGGAACTGAACACTGAATAAAACCAATAAAATACATACTATTTTAAAATTAATATAACCTTAAAAATATGAGTGTCCTATGAGAAGCATAGACTGTACTAGAACTTGGATTACCAGACTAGTGTTATTCCTGTAAAATCCTTAGAGAACTAAAAGTTCCCTTGTGAAAACAGAAATTCTTCTGTTTTGGGGTGTGTGTGTCAGTTTTTCTTTCCCTTCTTAGCAATTTTTCTTCCCTGCTGCTCCCCCTTTCCGCTCTGTGTTCTTGTTTGTCTTCTCCATTTTGTATCTGGGAAAAAAAAAAAAAAGTGCATGTGTAGATGGAGAATTAAAATATTTGGAGTAAAGTAGGAAGATACAACAGTCAAAACACCTAGAAACTCTCAAAGATACGCAAGTTCTTGCAGGGGAAAAAAAAAAAAAAAGAAAAAAGAAAGTTGAACAATTCCAAGTGGAAAACACATAGCTTCATTTGAAATTGTTTTAATTTGTCAGCCCTGTTCAACAACTTTCAGGACCAGTCTTTACTGTGAACTGAGAGCAAAAGCTCAGTATGTTTGAATTCAGCACAATTAAAAGACAGTGCAGTGAAGGATAGGGGCAATAGGGAGGTAGCTGGACTCCTGATCTGGGGCCAGCTTTGGTTCCAGAAGCCCTCTGCAGCAAGGACTCCATTCCCAGCCAATAGTGGAAGCAGGGGTGCAACTACAGCAGATAATGGTGGTGTGTGTAAGTTAGAATGTAAGACTAATGATACAAAGCTGGAATGTTACAACTAGAAGGGCTCTGATCTGTTTGAAATTAAAGGAGTATCGCTACAAAGCACAATAAATGGGGGTCTGAAAAATATTTTAGAAAGAGGTTGAAGAATGATATACTGTCTTTACTCAGCACAGTTCAGTAGGTATTCAGTTGTTTTTTTTCACTTCACTAACAAGAGCTTCTAAATTGGGATGTTGCTCCTTTTGCCTTCTGTTTGATTTTATCACATTACATGAATTGGCAGTTATGTTGGAATAGTTTTACCTCTGACTTCTGCAACTTAAAGTTATCTTTCCCAGTCTTTCAGTATCACCAAGAAATTCATTCTTTCCAAACACTGTGTATTAAACTACAATGTTACTTACAGTAAAGACAGCCAAACTAAGATATATGTGAAACTTACCCCCAGAGCACCATATTGTCATTTCTTTTGCACATACAGAGAAGAGAGGAAGTACACATTTACTATAGAGATTATCAGGTGTAAGCTATCTGCTGCTATTTGATGCATATGCACTCACACACACACAGTTACACTGCAGAAATGTGTATATGTATCACTAATCATTCAAGATTTCTCCCACACTGCCTCACAAAGAATTGATTTCACTCTCTTAGGCAGAAAGTTAAGCTAATTGCAGCACCAGAGAGAATAACACATTTTTTTGTCTCTGATCTGTTTTGACTTTGTACTGCATGCTTCTGACTTTGACTTTGTAACGCATGCTTTTTTTTTCAACAGCTGTAACAAAATCTAAACCATCAGAGATACTATAACTTTACCTTAGTGTCTGAAGTCTTCAGAATTTACAAATTACAATCTCATCAGCTGCTTGGCCAACTCAGAAGCTCATTTCTTTTGAAAGTTCTAGCAATACATTGATTCTTCCACTCCCTCTTCATTTGAAATTTAAGAAAATGTTCTGTGTCAAATTATAGCAATGTGATCATCCTGGAAAAGAGACATTCATCATGCAGACTTTTGGAACCTGGAAACGCAGCTTTGAAGAAACCTGTTGTTATGAATTTGGTTTCTCAGAAGTTTTCTACATCTTTGTAATAGCAAGATCAATTATATTCATACATGCTTTAGAGTGCACTGAACCATTCATGACTGCCATGTTATATGTTATGACTATCAATGGATTTCTCTTAATAAATTTCTTACCAGTGTTGTGAACAAACTTTGCCCTAGTCATGCAGATTTACAAGCATCTCGAGTAAAAAGCTCCTGGGCATGTGGAAGGGTTTACAATCAGCAGTGTAGCCTCTGTCTTTTACCAGTAGTAAACGGTAAAGCTAACACCAAGAACCAGAAACTGAAGTCTATCTACTTCTCTCTAATGTACTTAACCAGTTCCTGCTTTCATAAAGTAAGTTATGCTAGAAGCCATATTATGGATCATAATATAAAACCTGACTGGCCAGGGAGATAGAAAAGGAACTGGGATAATGAGAAAATCTTTTATTTGTGGCTATGCTCACAGAGTAATCTCCGCAGTTTGTGTTTCTCTTCCCAGAAGCGACAGCAGCTACCTATTCCATTAGCACATGCAATATACCGTAAATCATGAAATGGGAACTTGACAAGATTCTGAAGGGAGATTAAGTTCACCATACCCTTCCCCTCTAAAGTGCAAAGTGCCTGTGGGACAGAGGAGTGTCGTGCAAGAAGTAATTGGTGTATTTTCTGAACTTTCTCTTTGCACTACATTGGGAAATTCAGTGCAAAATATTTCGGATTTTCAGCTTCTGATCTGAACTGGAAGCAGTACATTAGGTGCACAGTAACATTTGCTTTTATATGAGATGGTTGCATTAGTCAAATGTGCTCAAATCTGGAACAATACTCGGGTTTAGTTTCCATTCCATGGATTCATCAAGGAGATTTGTATATGCAATACTTTCCAGCATCCCACTGCCATCAACAAAGACTCACACAGATATCAAGATACACTTGTACAGACTTTTTTCACAATTGGATCTTAATTACAACTCTGTAAACAAGGGCAATGATCCATTCTTTACAATGTAACCGCATATTCCTATACAGCGTAATAGGAACACAAAAATACAAATATTTCAACTGTATTTTTCTTGAATTAACTGTGAATATCCCAGTCTCAACTAGCAGCTTGATTTAAAAAAAAAAAAAAGTTGCTTTGTTTTGGCATAAACATGGTCTCATTATTTACTTTTCAGTCTTCCTGAAGCCAAGCACTTCAACTTCCCCTTCTTGTGCTCGCTCTTTCTTCAAATAGCAACACCGGATCAATAAAAGGATGTGCATACGATCCTCAATTAAGCAAGTGAAATATATATAACTGTTGACTGTACAAGGCATTGTGCAATGCTGTCTAAGTGATTCCCTGATGAGAGGCTCACACCCTCTATGTTATCCTGAGAGCATAATTTCAAACATCCTTCTTTAACACCAGCAAGGCAAAACCAGCATACTTGTGAGTACATGTAGCTGTCAAAATTAGACAAGACAGTGTTCCAGCCTGATCACTGCATTCTGGATCTTTTCCATTGTGCATTACTCTACATTTCCATTGTCCCTCTCTTGTCACTTTTTCTCATTTTTTTTAGTCATAAGGTCAACTACATCATATTTCAGGAACACGAGAGGAAAATATAGTTCATACACTCAAGGTCAGACTGAGACCAGAACTAGTGAAAGCGTAGGGCTTGACCAGAGCAGCCAGACAGCATCCCAGTTTGGATTCAAACTATTGTCACAGCTTATGCATGATGCCAAAGCATCTATCTATTCATGGTCATCTATTCATTCTATGTCCCGCTAAATTCAGCACAAAGTTCAGCTCCTATTTTCTGGCTTTTTTTGGTGCCTGTGTCAAAATAAAAGAAAACCTGGCAACTATTGGCAACTCAGTCTTCAACAGCCGAAACCTGTCAACTTCTCCACCAAGAACATCTATCCAATAAGAACATGGCTTTTAACATGGCTTTATATAGTCACAGACTGTCATGGTACTTAATAATTTGGGTTCTAAAAATTATTTTTCTTATATGCTGATCAACAGCTTTCAGAATAATGTAAATTTTCTAGAGTAACAGCCCAGAAATGAAGCAGACAGTGTATATAGTAAATATAGTGTATACAGTGAATATAGTGAATATAGTGTATACAGTGAATATAGTGAATATAGTGTATACAGTGACTGCCTTATGAACATCTTTGATTCGACTCTGGTTATTCCACTAAAGGTAATGTAACATCTCCAAATCTCCAGGAAGAAAAATGTAAATTCCTGCCACTGAAAAGTTCCTATCCTTATTTCTATAATTTCAAGATCCCTTGTAATTGTAAAGGAAATTTTGTGCAGTTTTAAGACACTGACTACCATTCTGACTTACCAATGGAAATAAAAGTATTATTTATGACCCACTACAAACAAATTATATTCAGATATCTCAACCCAGGGCATGATATATTAAAAAATACCCCCCACACAACCAACTGGCCACAAATAATGAAAAAGGAATTACTAAAAAATAATTGCATTTTGGTGATACCATTTCTGTTATTATTAAAAACGCAAACAGCACTTTAAGTAGGAATGCTCTTAGTAAAATTTCAGGGAACCAGTGAAAGAGAGAAATCCATTTTGTTAACCTGGCGTCTTTTCAGCTCCCTAAGTAATTTTAAATGAAATCTACAATTAAAATTTCCAGTTGTATAAGGTTATATGTAAGACCTCATATCAACTCTACTTCTCCTGGAACTTTGCTCATTTATTTCTAAGACAAACAAACATGTACAACAATTTACCTTGATTCCCCAAAGCTCTCCAATACTTTGATACAGGCAGAAAAACTGGTTCCTGCAATGATACAGTCCATGGGTATCTCACTTCAGCAGCCTGGTCTGTTTGCTAAGAGGAGTTCTGTTTCTCAGCGAGGGTTTGCATAACAATGTTACTTGTGGGTTTCATTATGATCAGTGGAGAAAACTGCTCTCCTCAGGATATTAAGCAAGAAGTGGTGGGGGAAAGGGAACTAAAATGTGTTCAGACTCTTTGGCTGCTGCTATCAGCAGTATTCACCATGTGATGCATTTACCGCATTTTGCAGAGTCCTGTATAAAAGGTCAAGTCATTACAAAGTAATGGCTAATGAAATTTGTGTGATAATTACAGGTATAAAGACAAGAGTGGAAAGACCTTGAAGTCTAGTTCCCTGATACCACTGAGAATCACTGTATACACTCCCACTCCCCAGGTGTCTGGTAACGTGTTTGCTCCCTCCTTTGCCAGAAGGATCTTAAGAGATTCTGCTAGTAAGTCTTTTAAAGATTTAGCTATGTGGAGGTGGGTTTTTTTGTTGTTTTGTTTTTTTTTTTTTAAACTGTGATAATAAATTTCTTCTGCTCTTCTGCCTGTGAGTTCGTTACACAAATCAAAGACTTTGAAGAATAATAAAGGATTGGAAAACCAATACTGAGAAAATAAACTTCACTTGAAATTCTCAACCTGTGTTTGTGCTAAGTTAAACCCAAACCCGCCTGTCACAAAGACAGAACCCTCTATTAAACAGACCTCAGTGAAGGTGCTGAGCTCTTCAGTGGATGGGATTGCAGAATAAAAATTGTTTGTCTGAGCGTCATAAAAGGTTGCTTGACTCTTCCTCGTTGTTTATCATGTCCCCTTCTGCACAAAATTTTAACTACTTTTTGAAATATTTTGGGTGTCAAAAATAATGCTTTGGAAATGCTTGATATTTCCAGCTTAATTTTACCAAAAAGATCTATCTTAGCTTATTCAGAAGCTTATTAGAGTGCTGGATGGAGCTTATTTGAGTTAAAAACACTGCCATGTGCTTTTTATTAGCCACTAATCAATGATAACTAGTTATTTTTTTTTGTTGCATAACACAATGGGTTTTTTCTTGGTGGGAGAAATGCAGTTCTTTATGCTATCCATTCTGCTAAACACTGGATTTTATTTATAAAATCGTGTATTTGTGAAAATAAACAATCAACACTAGTGATGAGGCATTTATTATTAAGGAATATTAGACTTTGTGACTGTTGCTATTCTGACAGTCCTCATGACCATTAATGTGCTAACTATAGCAATATAGTAATTTTGCGTGGGCAAACACTGCTGTAAAAGCATGCACATAGTATCAGCACCAGAAAAATCTTTCAATGATCAAAGGACAAGCTCATCTTTGCAACTCTGAATGCTAGGCAGTACTTGTCATCTTCTCTTTTGCCCAATACTCCGAAATAAATGTATTATTTGTACCTGGTAGAAAGCTTCTGAGAACATAAATGGCAACAAACACAATTAAAATAACTGTTCATGCCGTGAAATTTCTGTGAAAGTTACCCATCTGAAAGGTCTATCACATGCTTCATTTTACACTTGCTGGTGGAAAAGCTTCCTGGATCCTCTCTGTTTTTTCCACTTTTTTCTGTGAAGGATGTCTGTGATTAATTTGGGGAAACTAGGTATTTTTAGGTGAATAAAAAATTTGAAGGAATTAATATTTTAAGGAACAGGACCCACAAGTCTGAAAGCAGCTTATACATATTTTGCCTTTTTCTTTTTCACAAAAACCAACAGCAGTACTAGCAACAAAATCACAAGGTTATATTCAAGCAATACAAGAATATTAGCAATGGTAATACCTTCTCACGTATAAACATGCCATTCCATTCTCTGTGTAGACCAAAACCAGCATCTAAATCCCAGAGCAGCGATGGTGTGTTACTGTTCCCATGTGCAACTTTTATGACTGTATCTCTAAGTATTTTTTTTATCAGAGCATTTATTCAACTTTTTGTTTCTCTTTACCTTTCTGAAAAGTGGCTGCTTAGATATTAAATTTGACAAAAACAGAGGAAAGAAAAGAGGGTGGGTAAGAGCTTCACTGAGTTTCTCTGCCATAAGTGCTAGTCCATCTTTTTAAGGTATTTTTCATGTATTGATATTGTCCTGCGCTCTGAAGTAGTTTGAAGGGTTGGGCACTCCCATCTGAACACCTTTGACTTTCCATTCAATGCTTACAAGGAATATCGTTATCAGGATCTTGTTACCTCCACAGTTCTGTCAGTACCATGGTTGGAGGTGAAGTGAAATGATATAAAATAAAAATACTTTTTTTTCTTTCCATGATGTTTTTAACCTGCTTCATTTCACTAATCTTACTCTATTAAATGATCCCAAAACAGGTGAAACATCATAATAGAATTATGTGGTGAGTGAGGGTAGAGAAGAACAAGACAAAAATTATTGGCTGGGGCAGGTAACCCTTAAACCATGTGTATATGGGGGGAAAAAAAGTATGTGAGAGAATGTTTTTGGACAGATGCATTAATATTGTTTAAGCAAGTTTGACAGTTTCATTCCTAAGTCAGAAGAGTGTTGCTCTGTATATCTGTAATATGCAACGCATACAAACGTGAGGAGTACTCAACAAGAGAATGTCAATATTAGCAGTTTTACACATAAACTTCCTGCTGCCTGCTCACTCTTATGGGGCTTTTGCTTCCTAGTGGCATACTAGGAGCAGCAGCAGAAATGACACACTTTGCCACTGATCATTTCTTTGTACATACCTGTCTAGAGAGAGTTACAGTCTACCTGTTTTCATGCTGCTCCATGATTACATGTATGTGAACCTCATCAGAGGGCAAGGCAGAGAGCCAGCAGCTCTGGTTAGCAATGCTGTGGCACTCCACAGAGTTAAGGTCTAGGGAAAAGTGCCACTGTGCTGCAGTAGTGATCCTGTGGCAGCATCACTTTGGAAAGTACCTGGTTTTCAATAAAAACTTTAAATTGGTGAACACTGGTAGGAGCTTCTAACTCCCATTGCTATAGCATGCTATGACAATAAATGTTTCTTCATGGCTCTTCAGCCTATGCTATCTTTATGTCTGCAGACAGGACTAGACTTCCTGAAAAATGTGCTGCTGCATTTCCATTGGGTTGACATGTGAAGGTCCTTTTGCTATTTATGACACAAGTTTGATGTGTTCATGAGTGAATTAGCAGCATTCTTTCACGTATACATGCACTGTCATGCTTATGGGAAAAAATGGGCATTCCAGATACTGTTTGTGGACAGCTACAATGCAGAACTCCCTGAAAGTTCTTCAAGTCAATACTGTGGCTCTTCAAAATTGTCACAATTCAATCTCTATACTCTTATAACCATTAGCTATTGTTGTTATAGCTTGACAAGGAGCACAGAAATCTCTTTCCACTATTTATATTTTTCTGTCCTAGAAAAAGTAGATCTGTCAAATTCAAGAAAGAAGTCGGATGATGATGGCAGAGTCTCTTTACCCCAGCTATGTTTTGTGAAGGATATATTTCTGCCAAGAAGGAAAGCCCAGCGTACTCCAGAGTGTCAGTCAGGTGCATGTTAAGCTACTGGTTTTCTGCTTGGGTGTATTCACTGTAATAAATCACTCTTTCCAGAGCACAGTCCTTCCCACTGACATCTAAAGCTGATGTAAAGCACCTGCCATACAAAATAATCTTGCATGCAAAAAGTCTTTTTTTTTTTTGGTGACTTGACCTTAGAAGTGCTCTGTCAGCTCAAATCTCAAGAAATTCTTTGAATACAAAGCTTGTATTCAGGTATTAACCATCATGTTTCACTGAATTACTCATCTTCACTGCCCTGCGCTCCCTGCTCTGTGCTCTGCCCCTAGGCTGCCCTCAATGTCCCCTACGTCACAGGCTCTTCCCTGCCCTTTTTGCTGTGAAGCCCACTCACAGAGGGCTCAGATTAAGTGGCTTTTGAACTCTGCTCTTTTTGCTCTGCAAGCTCTGAGGTTTCTGCCAATGTCTGTGCTCCTGCTTTCTGCCTGCCTGAGTTCAGCAGCAGGAGTTCAGGGGAACTGAAAGCAGTGCTGCAACAGAAAATGCTCCAAACAGACCAAATGGGAACACCAGGCCTCTACTAAACCCTTCAGAGGCACCAGAAAACCCTCTTGAAAGTGTAGAATTCACCATAGCTATCAAGAGCCCTGAAGCATTACAGCTGCAGCCCCATGAAGTACAGGGCTTGCCACAGCACCATTATCCCTCACATCCCACAGCTTGTGCCTTGTTGAGGGCTGTAGCTGATCATCAGTGTTAGCTTGATTACATGATTAACAAGCTAAATTGCAGGTGATGTGCACGTAGCTGTGATGGCTGAGTTTGCAGCAACCTATTCCTAGCCCGAGACAAGGGGGATGCGGAGAGGACCTGTTAGCCATCTTGGCAGGCAGGCAGGGAAACAGGCAGGCAAGCAAGCAAGCAAGCAGGCTGGCAATCAAGTGGTCTTGCTGGCCGGGAAGTTGCTAGAAGCTGTGTATGAGGTGAAATCAGCAGAGGCTGGGGTGAGAGGGAGAATGGAAGCGCAAGGCAAGTCTAAAGGGAGCTGGGCATGAACAGTCTGTGTGGGGAAAACAGATCTAGCAGCTGGGGAGCACATGTACCTGTGCTTACTCACACACACACACCCCCCCCCGTGCCTCTCAGCAGCGTTCATGCCTGTGCCCTGCCTTCCCCTGCCATCAGCTCACAGGACCCTGACTTGCTCTGTGCCTCCCTGCTGGGGCTCAGGCTGTCAAAGAGGGACCCAGGACTGGCTGGAGCCAGCACAAGCCTGAGTGCATGCATGCATACGTTCATCTTAGCATCTGCTGTCACCAGCGTCCTGGCACCCAGGGAGAGGAGGAGAGAGCCTAAACTGGGGGAAGGGGAGACTGGTGGGAAGGTAGGGAGGAAACAATTTGCTCAAGGAAGAAGTTGCTTATGTTTCCTGCCCATTCACCCTTATATAAATGGTGGGGCAGCGGATTATCCAGTGGCCTGGCTTTCCCCTTGGCATCCCCCACAGCTGCTGATACCAGGAGGAAGAGGAAGTGGAAAAGCAAGAGGAACAGACTGCTTTAGCAAGACACCACTGACTTCCCTTTCTCCTCAACATGTCCTTCCCTGCCTCTGCCTG